TATAAAACAAATTTTTTATAAATTTTTTTTTTTTTTTTTTTTTTTTTTTTTTTTTTTTTTTTTTTTTTTTTTATAGTAATGAAACCCATTGTATTTTTTTTTTTCCAACTAATCAAACTGATTAATGGAATTTTTTTGTTTTTTATTTACCTTAACTATTTTGTTACCTCACATGTATTATGTACTTTTTTAATGTATTTTTTTATTTTTATATATACATCCCAGCCCAATTTACCCCCATGATGATCATGTTCACCGATGTACATAGGAAAGTTATTTTATTTTTATTTTTTTTGAACTGTTAGTTTTTGTGTTATTATTAATTTTTTTTTCTTTTTTTTGGAGTTGGCTTTACTGAATTGAGGACAAAACAATATGTAAGACAAAAGAAATTAAGAGTAATCCTAATTGGTTAGATTTATTAACAGTTTGTAAAATCAAAACATCAAAACAAAGAAATTTAGTAACAGAATTACAAGTCATTTTGATAAAAAGATTTGTCTTTCTAAACCGTTGTACTAATGAGATAGAATCTAAATACCTCATGCGCATATCTCTTGGGCCTCCTACAAAGGATGCAGGTAATACTATTCTTTTTCCCACTTTGCTTCCCTGTTCTCACCGGATAATACACTATCTACAATCCCTTGGTAAAGTTCAGCCCTTATTTTTTATTGTTTCTTTCGATAAAAGTCCAACTTTGTATTATCAAGTTTTATATACATGCTGACAACAAATTGTTGCAATAGTCGTCTATATAGTAGGATGATTGAGTGGTCATCATCTCATACTTGTAGTTTATAATAGTAGTATTGCTGACACGATACATTCTTTCTGTCACTACCATCAACATCTGCGCCAAACATTAAATTTACAATAAGGAAAAAAGAGACATTATACTAGTATACATGAAAAATATATAATTAAATCACAACTAAATAGGTACAATGACACCTATTAAAATATGTCACTCCCATGCAATTGGCTTAGTAGAAAAAATATTGTACACAATCAAATGATCAAAACTGAGTTATAGAACTCATTAAAAAATTAGCCTTGATTTGTTCTTGAATTGAGCTCTTCATAAAAATAATACAAAAAAAAAGTAAATTGGTCAAATAAAATGATAATCACTCTATTTGGTTTCAGTTTTCAGAATTTACCTTTCAGAAAATTTTACTTTTTTTTCTTTTTTAATTTTTCATATATTTTTTTGTTTTCACTGAATTTTTTTAATATTTCAAGCAAATTTTTTTTTTAAATTTTTAGACACACTTAACATAAATACACTTAAAAAGTATAATATTTGCGAAAAAAATATTTTAAAAATTCACTAAATACTAAAAATTCAAAAAAAAAAAAATTCAGTACATTTTTCGTATTTTTGTGTATTTATTAATTGTTTAAAATATTTTTTCACAAATATTTAACTATTTAGATATATCTAAGTAAGGTATATCTAAAAAAATAAAAAATAAAATTCTAAAAATTTTAAAAATATTCACTAAAAAAAAAACACGAAAAATAACAAAACTCAATTTCCAGAAAACTGAAACCAAACACGCTGAAAAGAAAAGAAAACTTCAAACTTATTTTAAAAAATATATAATTAAATTAACGTTTAGTCAATAATATAGGTATTTGTCGGATCCATCAATTGAATCCACAGCTACCATCGCTATTTTAAATTTTCTATGATAATCGTTGACAGGAAAGATTATGGTACACACCCTTTAAAGAGTATGTACCGTATGTATCTTATAACTAAATAAGAAAATGATATAATTTCATACTTTCTGAGTCATAACTTAAAAAATAAATAAAGTCACAACCAAACCATACATGAAGTATAACAAAAATCTCATAAGTTATAATTAAAATAAGGTCATAATTAAAGAGAAAAATTGGTCATAACTAAAAGAAAAAATGACATAACTTGGGGGTACATATGGTAGGGATGTATATAGTAGAATTTTCCTTTACTTAATATATAGTTTAAATTAAGAAGGAAAGAGGGCTACGAAGGTCGATTGCATAGAAGTGACTGATTTGCTAGTATGAGTGCTTTCGACACGGGTAATTTGCTAGTATATACATATTATCGCAATGGTTACAAATTTAAAATATTTAAAGTATGTATTATGATATTTTTCTTTGCAAATTTATTGTAGAAAACTAAAAATCACAATTGACTAATTCTACTACAATAATTCATAATAAAACCCTAATGATTTACATATATATATGGGTTGAACTTCTTTTATGTTGGCCATCTCAACTTGAGAGATCGTTTGGACTTGGTAAGTTCATTTTGGAACTAACTTCGGTGATCCGAATTGTTCACATTTTAGGACTTGTTAAGCAATAATGGTAGGTTTCATAAAAGAACTATGAAAAATATATAATTGTTCAACGAGACACAAGCTTAGCCATACCTTGCCATTCCATGACTTATCCTTTCTATTAATTTTCTTTTTTTTTTTTGAGAACAAAACACAGCAACACAAATATATTAAGCTAAACAGAGTATCTTACAGTAGCTGCAAGATGGTGAGCCTCTTGGACCACATCTCGCTCCACCTTCTCTAATACAACATAATGAAAAAGTTTACAATAATACAATATATCAGCCAAAATGGATTGGAAACTCCAATCATGGTCTTGATCATAGCTTTGGAATAATAGTACTAGGACTAAGCAGTCCGTTTGTAACAGCAGACTGGTGATGCCGTAATGGTATGCCCAACGCAGAGCCTTGAGAACAGCAACTGCTTCGGTTTGTTGGGGAGAAAGCATTGGTGGCCCTAAAATAGCTTCCTCATAGACCCGCTGATTATCTGTATCAAAACAGACCCAGGCCAAGCCAGTTCGGTTGCCGACAGAGAGCCAAGGTCCATCCACAACGATGCGCATGTGTGGAACAGCTGCAGTGGGTGTTGTAACATTCTGCAAAATAACCTGATTAGCAATTCTGTGTTGAGAAAAAATACCAGAGTAAGAAAGCTCACAGAAAACATTGTGTTGTGGTGAAAGAAGTAGTGATAATAATTCATTAGCTGCCATGATTGTGCGTTCAATGGACACATCAACTCCATCAAATTCCACAGAATTGCGTTGTAGCCAAATGGCCCATAATAAGGCAATGGAATGAATTAAAATCTCCGAGTTGCGAATTTGTTGCACCTATCCATGAAACCATGAAAAGAAAGACAGGGGTCTTCCAACTCCAAAGTCTAATCCCAAAACCAACCCGCGCCATACCCGTTGGGAAATGGGGCAATCAAAAAATAGATGTTCAATTGATTCCTCGTGTTGAAAACAGCTAGAACAAATTGGATCAATAGTCAGCCCCCGTTTCTCAAGTTCTCGTTTCACCGGAAGAATATTATGAAGACATTTCCACACAAACAAGATCCATTTGGGTGGGATCTTGAACTTCCATAATCGTTTCCAAACTTCCCAGTCCGAATCAAGCCTATAATAGTCTGGAAATTGTCGAATCAACGCCTGTCTGTAACCCAATTTTACTGAGTACTCTCTACTTTTGGTCGGACCCCAAACCAGTCTATCCTCAATGTCAACCTGAGATATGTACATGGATAAAATATAAGATATAACATGTTCAGGAAAAAATAGGTTCAATAAATCTATATACCAAGAGCGAAGCAAGGGATCTATGAAGTGTGCAACCCGTAAGCTAGGACAAATATCACTCCAACTTCTACCTCTAAAAGGATTGGAAACTATCGGAATCCATTGATCCTCAAACAGATTAATATGTTGTCCATTCCCCACTACCCACTGAAGCCCCGAGGCCAATAACGAACGTCCCCATAATATACACCGCCATCCCCATGAAGATGACGAAGATTGGCTAATGTCGAGAAAGGAACGCCTTTGACAATATTTGCCTACCAAAACTCGCAAAAGTAATAATTGGGACAGGATAGAATTCGCCATGCTTGGTTAAAACACGTAAGGTTTCTAAAGCCCAGTCCACCCCAGTCTTTTGGAAGGCACAAATATGTCCATTTTTTCCAAGATATCCCTTTACCTTTGGATGAAGCCCACAGAAACTGACGAATAATAGATGTAAGCTTATGATGGAAAGATTCAGGCATGCGGAAGACTGACATTAGGTACACCGGAATGGATTGAAGAACATGTTTAACCAAAATTCCCTGGCCTGCAAAATTTAAGAAATCACATTTCCATCGTTGGTAGGTTCATTTTGGAATTAACTTCGGTGATCTGAATTGTTCACTTTTTAGGACTTGTTAAGCAATAATGGTAGGTTTCATAAAAGAACTATGAAAACTATATAATTGTTCAACGAAATACAAGCTTAGTCATACCTTGCTATTCCATGACTTATCCTTTCTATTAATTTTCTTATTAGTTTGACTAATTCTGCTACAATAATTCATAATAAAACCCTAATGATTTACACACACACACACACACACACACATATATATATGGGTTGAACTTCTTTATGTTGGCCATCTCAACTTGAGAGAGCATTTGGACTTGGTAGGTTCATTTTGGAACTAATTTCAGTGATCCGAATTGTCCACTTTTTAGGACTTGTTAAGCAATAATGGTAGGTTTCAAGAAAGAACTATGAAAAATAACTATGAAAAATATGTAATTGTTCAACGAAACACAAGCTTGGCCATACCTTGCTATTCCATGACTTGTCTTTTCTATTAATTTTCTTGTTAGTCCTTCAGCGTCCCGTTCATAAAAATCCAAAAAAATGAAAAACAAAAAATGATAAAATATAAAATAATAAAAATAAAAATACGTTTCATTAGAGAAGAGTAAATACCTTTTTGTTCTTGTCTAAAAATGTCTTCAGCTGATGTAAATGAATGCCTATTTGAATTTTGTTGCATGTTAATGACACCATTATCTACTCCAGCTCTATTTCTTTCAAGAATATTTTGATGCCATCCAACCTCTCCTCTAGGAAATAATAATGGGTATTGCAATGGATCGTAACAACCATGATAGTGTCGCACTTTATGCTTATGCCCCAAATTTGAGTGAACTATAATATCATGTTCATGAGGTACATTTGGGTTATTTCCTTCAATCCAAATTGCAGCTACCTAATCGGCTGATGGTGAGTTGTAAACCCTTTGATCCAACTTCACATCTACACTTGTATGGATTTGAAAAGTATCTAATGGAACATGTTCTAGTGTACACAAAAACTGAGCATGAGGATTTTCTGTAAGTATCTTAATTAGTTTACCAAAAACAACCTTACAAAGTGGTGCATCATTTAGTTTACTCAATCTATTCTAAAGTTCATTGTCTATATCATAGAAGTACAATTGGAAATAACAAGGATCCTTACCAGATGGAATCAAAGATGACAAATCATGGTATATTTAACCTTGTGCACGAAATGTATAAACACCTCGTCTAGAATTTGCCAATTCCTTGTCTAACTTCATGCCAAATGATGTGAATACAAAAATGCTATTATATGCTCAAATATGTCTATGAAATTCAACAGCCTCTATAGTTTGAGAAATGAACAAGGTTCTTAGACATTCTGGAATTTCGGGGCTTGCAAGCACTACTTCTCCTTTATAGCAACAAAGGCTCGGAGGTTCATATTCAAACCTTTTAGCTTTACAAAAGGTACAAGGTGTCATTTTACGTAATTCATGTAATTCATGTGTCAGAGAGCAAACAATTTGCGATGATGCATCACCTGTTTTTCATATATATTAAACAAATTACAGGCATTAGAATCAAGTCTATATAGTAAAAGACGTCAAAAATAATTATTAGTTTTGTGTGTTTAACATTCATTGGAGTTGTCTCATCATGCCCTTCCAAAGAGTAAGTTGTATTGTCAAGTGTGTTTGGACCTTTGCGTTTTCTTTTCCTATTATTTGAGATATTTTCAATATATTGTTTTCATTGTTTGGGTGCAAATCTGGCATATTGATTGTTTTGTTGAGCGCGACGTTCAGAAATTGCATCTGTGATAAATCCTTTGATTAGTAGTTGTAACAAACTATGAGCATTTTTTTATTTGTTCATCAAAATTGACATACAAGTTCATACCATTGACATACAAGTACAAACTATGAGCATTCTTTTTGTTGATAGAGGAGTATTTGCTTTCCCTGTTGTAATCGATAATTTGGGGAAAAAAAATTAAAAATTAATATTGACACAACTCTTTCACATTAGGTGATATTTAAATATTTTGGGTTTATATTATAAATTTGGATAAGAATTTAAAAAAAAGAAGGAAAAATGTAAAAATAATGCGAATAAAATTTGAGTTAATTTTTTTCCCATAATATTCTATCTGATTCTATGATACATCTTAATATTTTAATTTAACATTAATAATTAATTTTTTTTGCAAATAAATTATTAAGTCAATTAATGATTTTTAATGATATGAGAAATATTTAACGAACAATTTTAATAATTTTATTATTACATAGGAAAGCAGTTAGAATTTTTTTTTTCTTTTGACGAATAGTATAATTGATTATGAGTGATAAGTCCAATGGCATTATGGATTCTACAAAGTTGATCTGATCTTACTACGAAACCCACCCACCAAAAGTTCGAAATTCAAAATCAAAAAGACAAAAGAAACAAAAAATATTGACAAAGTGATAATATAATTGGATATAAGTCATGAGTCCAAAACATTCAAGGTGTTTGATAGTAGATTGTGATATTTCAAGGTGTTTGGTTATTTTAAGGTGTTTAATGTTTGAAGGTGTTTGAATTTTGAAAGATGTCTGTGATTGTTTGTATGCAATATTAATAATTAATTTTTTATGCAATATTAATAATTAAATTTTTTTAAAATAAATTATTAAGTCAATTAACGATTTTTAATGATATGAAAAATAATTTTCAACGATCAATTTTGATAATTTTATTGTTGCATAGGAGAGCAGTTATTTATTTATTTATTTATTTATTTTTGGGGTTTGTTTACTTAAATTACAAAATTTAACAAAGAGTAGTAATAATGAGAACATTTAGTGTTTTTAACATTAAAAGCTAAAATTTTTACAAATAAAAATCTTGTTACAATCAGATAAGGGTTAATCAACTAATATAGTATCAAGTGATAGACAAGAAAAGATAATTTATCAAAGAAGAATAGTTTTTACACCCTCAAAAAAATCATAAGAATATTAGGAATGAATATATCTTTAAAATTAAAGTACGAACACAATGAAGGTGCTCCGCACCACTATTTTGATGTTACAATATATGTTCCAAAAATATCTCAATGTGTGTTTCAGAGGAGTTGGTCAAATGCACCATGGTGAGCATGATGCTCACCTCAGAAAGCAAATAAATATATTGAACATCAGTAAACATTGCCAACAAATCAAGTATGCATTTGTATGTTTTTTATGTACAAATTTACCTATAGTGCAGGATGGTACAGGAGCTTCTATATGCACACACCATATCCCCTCTTCCCACACACTTAATGAGAGAGTGTGTTGGGAAGTTGTGTGTGAAGGATGCGTATAGAGAGAGAGTGGTGTGTGTAAATAGATGCTCCCGGATAGTACCCAATATGCACATTTGTTTCCACCCTTGCACTACTGTCTTATACACCATTCATGGCAGAATTTCAGGGGCAAGCCGAAGAGCAGTTCCAAGTCCTAACACAACGATAACACCTGTATAATTAAATAACAGGAGGCTCATTAACAAGTTCAAAACTCCATGGTCTTCAATCCCACAGGCACTATACAAATGTAAAAAAAATAATGTGAAATTATGTACCAATTATGATGTTAACGGGCAATGCAGATACACCAAGGGCAATGGACATTAGAACATCCAACAAGAGACCACCAATAAGGATTGAGAATGCCACCCAAAGAGGGCTAAAACAACCCTGTTAATTTAGTAATATTAAAAATGAGAAATTCACCGAAAATAGCAAGTTTGAATGAGAAAGATCGTAGTATCTTGGCTACATAAACCGTCTTACCCTTTCACGTTCTTGTGCTATAGTGGACCCTCTAAAGGCAAGGTCGACCATCTAAATCCAACAACTTGTCTGCTATACATTTGAAAAAATCAAAAGTCAGGCATATCCATGAGATGCAACAAAGAAAAGCTAACACAGTAAGATCATTGTCTTAGAGCCATTTTTGTGTTTTTATTAGCTGTAACAAATCATAATCAATTGCTGAGAGAGAGAGAGAGAGAGAGAGAGAGGGAGAAGTATTGCAAACTGGTTTGGAGATTTTGATTGCTGAATGCAGAGCGAGAAGGGATGCTTGCATGTTATATAACGTGGGGCTATTTACACCAAATCCTATTTGGAGTAGAATTTCCAAACATCAAAGAAAGCCATAACTAATTTTATAAAGGAATATTTTCTATTTCGTCTCTAGTTTGGGCCCATGAGCACACCAGATGCCTCGGTTTTGCACAATTCATTTCAACACCCAAAGCCCATGAACCTCAAGATAGACTAAAGGGAAAAAAAATATTTACAAAGTGATGGTATAATTGGATATGAGTCATGAGTCCAAAACATTCAAGGTATTTGATAGTAGATTGTGATGTTTTAA